TTTAATTAATGCTAAATTTATACCTATTTATAATATATTACATGTTAATTATTTTATAATATTATATATCATAAATTACATGTGAATTAATGCTAATTTAATTTTTTTATTTAATATTTTTATTTACATAAAATACAATAATTTTTAGCCCTATTTTTTATATTTTATATTAGCCTAAATAAAATATTTTTAAAAATAATCTAACCCTTTAAAAAACCTACACTTATATCATCTAAATTTTTTAAACATAATTTAACTTAAAAAAATATATATTCAAACTATTAATATAAACGGTTGCCTATAATCCAAATATTTGTTATTTGTCTACAAACTTTTTTAACCCTCGACAAATTTTTTTAATACAAATTTATACAAAACAAATCTTAATCATAGGCAAAATAAAATTAGAATAGTAATTCAATTAACACTTGCTCAAATAAACCACATAAAACAATTTCAATACCCCAACACCAGCACCACTAGGGCTATCAACACCACACCACACGAATGTACTCACCAGCACACACCTAGCACCACTCACCAACACACTCCTAGTCACTACAAACAGTGCAATAACTCTCCACAGCACCAGCACCCATCAATAACAATAACCACCAGCATGACAAGTAGTACCACCAGCAGTGCTCCCAACCAACATTACGACAATAAACTCACCACAACAACACCAACACCACTCAAGTCACCAGTCGTGCCACCAACATCACATGTTCCACTCGCGAGAGAACGATAACCACACTAGCAACAACACCTTGACCACCCAACTAGCCACAAACACCACACGCAAACTTGCCACAACACCAACTCACCACGGACCAACACCAACACCACCATAACTCCACGACCAAACCACTTACAACCTACAAACCAAGGAAACACACATAAGATCACATGCACTTGTGACAATCGATTCTCCTCCATGTAAAACGTGGGTGAGAATTGATTCTATTTAATGAGCATCAACAGCAACACAAGACCACGACCAAACTCACCTTGGTACCACTTACACAGTAGTAGCACCACCCATAACAACATGTAAACCATAAGCATAAAGAAGCTTCAAACCAAAGCAATACACATGAACAATCACATGCATCCACGTAAAAGGAGGTTGAGAATCGATTATGGTCTCATGGAGAATCAATTCTCCATGCGTGAAAGAAGCAAGAATCGATTATGCTCTTAGGAAGAATCCATTCTCGTGCGTTCAAAAGAAGGGAGAATTGATTCTCCATCAGTTCAAAGATGCGAGAATCGATTCTCTATGATTCTCTCTACCTCTCTCAACTAGTTTCGTGGCCAAACACCACTACCAATGCACACCACATACCAATCCAACCTCAACCAAATCACCTCTTAAAAAAGAACCACACAAACTCACCTTCACGAATAACCCCCTCTCATGTATTTAATGACACTTTCGCTCGCTGGAACAAGAAAACAACTATAGCTGCATGTGAGGGCTGTAGTTGAGTTGCTACAATTCCCTTTACAAGCACAACCACAATTCCCTACATGAAAGGGGTGCATGCACCTTTGAAATAATTCCTTGGGTGCGTTGCATGCATAGAACCACGTGAATGTTGCACTTATCCATTGTTTTTTAATTCTTAAAGGAGGGCAAAAGTGTATTTGCACTCTCTTTTCCCTTTCTTTCATCGTTTTTCTCCTCACGTAAGTGAATGTCATTCTTCTCCACTCTCCCTCAACTTTGTCTGCGTCTTTCTCCTCAAATTAGTAGATACAAATACAAATAATTCACTTAAACAAACACAACGTTAATTTGAAAAATGTCATCATCATATATATATATATATATATATATATATATATATATATATATATATATATATAAAGTTAGATAATTACTAATTCAAATATAAATAAGTTACTTAATAAGTCTCTTTTGCTTTAAAAAAGTTATTTCATGATGAAGACAAGAAAATAAAATAAAGTTTATTCTTAATGTATATAATATCATTAGTTAATTTAGTTAAATAAAATTTATGAAATATATCAAATATTAACTAATTTAACATATTTGATATCATTATTTTTAAATGATTTTATGTCTAAATCTGAATAACATTATCAATAAATATGACTATAGATAGTTTAAAAATATTTTTTTATGAAATCAAGAAAATAAAATAAACTTAATATTCTTAATCCGAGTGAAATATATATTTTTGTTTATATAGTATATATATATAAAAGAAAATTGTGATGACAATATAACTAAGAGTATTCTTTCATAAATAATTTTTTTCATAAAAAGAAAAAAACTGTCTATCATGCACACTAACTATATATAATATGCTTGCTAGGTGCTATAGTCCTTGTTTATTAAAATGAAAAGGGGAATGTTAATTAACTAATCAAATTGCCAATGTAGGCCTAACCAACGTGGTTTGTTTCATCTCATTAACGATGTTGATTGTGATGACATAATGATTTCACAAAGTGCCGCCACTAATTCCGAGACCAAAAGACAAAGGACAAGCCATACAAATGACATGTTCTCTTCCATTTTTTTTTACGAAGGTTCATTCCTGTATGTTAATAATTTCCACGCAAATACAACAATGGAGGGTGAAGCTCTTCTCTTCTTTATAGCATATTATTTCCTGTACTCTAGAATATAGAATCTGTTGCATCACAGGATCATAGTTACCATAGTAAACCAATTAAGTGTCATCTCAATGAGCAGGTTTTGCTGTGTCATACCTAGGAAATATCTATGTGGCAAATCCTTTTAGACTGTGTGTTAATTGGCTCCTCAAGAGGCAAAAGAAGAGAAGAAAAGAATTGAAGGTATGATTGCTTGGTACCAAATAGAGATTGGACCTGTAAAATTTAATGCCATGCTTCAGTGTTTTTCTTGCTTTCTGAGGGGCCTTTGAACTTAATCCTTTCGGTACATGTTGGGGTTGTTACTCTTTGATAGTTACATTTACTTTGTTCAAAATGATAGTGTCATTTGTCATGTTAATTACCATTTACCCAAGTAATATTTTTTAATGTAAAAACTAGACCAAATTACATGCACATATGAATTTAATAGAATTAAACTCAATATTCCCTCCATATTACTTTAGCCTCTTTTCATCCGTATAACCATGAAAGCAGTCAAAGACTGCCTACGATGTTATGTTTATATAAATTAAGAGAGGTTTTTTTAATTAGGGTAAAAAAGAGAGATTATAAATTTGTCCTAAAATTTTGGTAGAACATTATTTTCCTCACATGCAGCCGACTTAACTATAAAAAATAAAAATAAAAATCTAAAGGAGATCATTGTTAAAGATATGTAACTATTCTCTTTGGTTTAAATGATGTCTCATGACATCAAAACATTAATTAACCAAATAGTTAATTATAGGTGTTATATATCCTTATCATTCTGTTTTTCTGAATGCAAAAGGTTAAATTTAGATATATGTGAGAGATATAATCAAAATTAACAGCTATAATGTTTTGAAAGTTACTGATCATTGACAACTAAATTATGAAAACTTGAAACTTAAATAGGTATATGAAAACTTTTTTAAATAATATTGGGCTAAGGTAAAATGATAGTTCTTTTAGTTGGGTTTTGGTCCCTATTGATTTTTTTATATATAATAGTTTCGATAAATTACATTCTATTCTTTTGTAATTTCACACTTTATTAAAACTTATCACCCTTTACTTCTTATGTATCATTAAACTCCTCTTAATTTGGATTGAAATTATACTGCAATTAAAATAATAGTTAATATGTCCTAACTGAGGAATTGAGAAAATATAAGTGTAAATTGAGAAAATATAAAACTATAGAGGAATCAAAGATAATATATTCTAATAACTCATAAATTTTGGTTCCTCAAGGTTCAATATATATATCTTAATAATTCAAAACTATACATAATTATGTTATAGAAAATAAGAACCAATATATTAAATAGAAAAAAAGGGAAAAAAAGAAAAGAAATGGGCTCCAACCTATAAAATGACTAATATATAGTGATCGATAAACGAGAATGTAATCCAAAAATAAAGGATTAATTAGAAACAATTAAATTATAAGGACACAAAGAAATTTACGGGCTGGTATATAATTTAATCATAAATTTGTACTTAATTAACAGTTATTTTATATTGTCGAAATAACAAAAATATAAAATTTAGCTATTTTAAAGCCTTGTAGTTGTGCACAAACTTCTTTTAAAATCTTTTTTAAAAGGTGACCGATTTATCAAAGGTTGTAAAATCTATCAAAATGCTTTTGATTTTCAAAAGATTTCACTAAGACAATTTAGATTTGATCTTGTTTTCTAACGACGTTGTGTGTATATAATAATAAACAATAAACTCCACCTGCCTCCAGCGTCAAGGCAAGAAGGGGTAGGTTGTTTTGATGCATGTACCGTACAAAGTGCATAGATAGAGTATTGATAAGATGAGGAAGTGGGCAAATATTTTGAAGAAAAATATTTTTGTTTGATATTAAGGAGTTATGGACAATATTACATAAATATATGTTAAAAGAATTAATCAAATTCATACCACCCACACCTTTTGATGGAAAAGATTCATGATTCATCCATATATGCTCATCCCTATATACGTGTAGAAAGAAGAGATGAGGAAGTTTGCAATTAAAGAAGCGCTTAGCTAGATGAAAAGCACAAGAGTCCAAAAGGGAGACAAATAAATGATAACAAGATTAAAAAAATTAACCCACAATTTAAAAAATATATTCCTATCATGCTATTGAGATGAATCCACAGCCGGCTAACAGAATACATCTCCAAGCAAACTTCTAAGACTTTTCCACTTTACACCACATTCACTTGACTCTCTTTAGGCAATGCCTATGTCCTTCATTTGTCTCTTTCTCAAACCTTCTCCACCTTCTCCTTTCTATAATACTCTTCCCTCTTACACTTTATTCCTCATATTCAACTCAATTAACAAATCATTCATCTCCTTTATTCGCCATGGAATTCAGCTGCCAAGATGATTCCAAAAGCTCCAGCGATGAAGTTGATCGATCATCGGAACAGAATGATGAGATGGGCACTGGCAGATCCTATGAGTGTGTCTTCTGCAAGCGAGGCTTCACCACTGCACAGGCTTTAGGTGGACACATGAACATACACCGAAAAGATAGGGCCAACAAGGCTAAATCCAATTTTCCTCCTTCCACTTCAACCAAGGTTGATGAAAGTAACGGCTATTCAGATCTCGGGTTATACTCACCATCAAATCCAAGCTATCTTGCAAGAGGAACTTACTATTCCACTCTTCCTGATCGAGAGGTAGACACTAATTACAACTACTACCATCAATTATATTTTCCCTCACACGCTTGTGGTGCCAAATCACCTTCACATGTACAATATAGTGAGGTTTTGTGTGTAGAGAACCAAAGGGATCCTCAGTTTGTCTTTGGACAAGATTGGAGGCAAAGGGGTTTGAGTTTGTACGCTAATCCATTATGTGTTCATGAAAATAAAGACAAGATGGAAAACAACAGTGAAGATGACGATCTGGATTTGGAGCTTAGACTTGGTCATCATCATCCATAGCATATATATATATATATATATATATATATATATATATATATATATATATATATATATATATATATATTATGAGAATTAATGTATGGCTTTTGAGCCTATATATATTTTTATGGCGTGCAATTGTATAGAGAGATGGGATGCAAGTTGGAAGCAGAAAGAAGCAAGATTTCTATTGCATGGAACCTAGCTTCTTCAAGGAAGGTTGCAAGTTCGGGCTTCTGAGGAGGGAAGGTACTGAAGATATACGTTTTCAATCTAGAGACGCTATCTACCTCTACTATATATCTAGGGTTCTATCAGAAGTTCTTAATCATGTGAATTTTTCTTTTGCTACTCTTTAATTACTTAATTTATGTATGCACATCTACATGCTTGTCGCAAGGGAAATTAGGTTAATTACTTAATAGTGTGTGCTTACAATTTTTAATAAATAAAAGCTAATATCTCTATGGACTCTATCCAAAGCCATCCGTGTCAATGATATATATGGAACTTTATTGTTTCTTCTTCCTCTTGTTTACATTGCTTGAAGTATATGTTACACCAACAGATTATTACAAATTCAAAGATAGATAATGATGTATCTTAGTTTTAGGAGAAAGTAACAATCATCAGTATATAAACTCACAGTACTATGGAGGACTACATAATTACTCTCAAACAGTTCAGTTAGTCATGAGATGTGTGTGTGTGAAGTTATTTTGATTCCAGTCCTGTGGATATGAACGTATTTCTATGTTTACTTGGCAACCAAGGAATAACGAAAATCATCTATCCTGATTAGCATTTGACTTTGAAGTATCTTGGCTATGGAAATTGCATCAAAATAAATGATTCTTTCATCTTCATATATTACACCTTTTTCATTCAGCATATAAATCTTCATATATTACACCTTTTTCATTCAGCATATAAATAGTGTTAATATTGTTTAGATATTATTTGATATTGTTAAATATTGTTAATCACAATATCAAACAAAATCATCTGTTTATTCAGTTACTTTTTTAGTTGTATCTCTCATTATAAATAGACTATCACTATGTGTGATTTATATATAACGGAAATTAATCTCACACTCTATTTCTTCTATATTCAACTGTCTTATTTTATTATTTAAAATAAGTAATATGAAATTATATGATAAAAATAATAGATACATAAGATTATTTTTACAACCATGAGTGTATGTTCTATTTGTTTTACTGCGTATAATTAGCTACAAGAAATTTGGTCTCTATTTTCTATATATCTCTCAAACACAACTTTGTGATGTATTTTTTCTGAGGTGGGATTTTTTTTTTTTTTTTTTTTTTTTTTTTTGAGAATGTAGCTTTTGAGACATATTTCCGAACACAAATCCTCTTGAACCACGTAAAACCTACTAAATTAAATGATACTAATTAAGTATTATTATTATTATTCTATTTTTGTCATTTATAAATTTATTATATATACATATATATATATATATATATATATATATATATATATATATACATTAATTGAAATTATAGATACTTAATAGCCGAAGTACCATATAGTTTTTCCTTCACCTCTCTCCAACCCTTCTATCCCTTTTTAGTTATGCTTCATTTATTTATCATTTGCATTTTTTTTCACTTTTATGTGCTTATGTTTTTTAAATGTGACTGTTGTTCTTTCAAGGTTTCTAATGTGGATTTTAGTTATTAAATTTATTTTGCTATACAAGAACTTCAATTTTTGCTGGTTTAACTTTATAAAGTAGTATATGAAATTTTTAAAGCTTTTTTATCCTATTTTTTTATGAATATTATAAAACTTATACCCAAATAAGTTATGTTATTATTGAGTAAACATGTAATTAAAATGATTTTACGAAAATTTGCTTAACATGAAAGGGTGGTTGTTTATATAATAAAGTGATATGCATAATTGTAATTACTTTTAACAGTTGTAATCAAAATTCAAATAATTTGTGTAAGATCTTAATTTCAATTTTGTTTGTTTTTTTTAAAACACGATATTAAACAGGAAATTAAGATAATATTTATGTTTTCGAAAAAAATGGTTTCGATCTTCAAACTTCATATTTAATATATAGACAATTCAAAAGTGTCCAATACAAAATAGGGGTAAATTAGACATTTTTATTCGATAATTTATTTAGTTTTATCTCATATAACTGGTAGTCCAGTAGATCAAATTGTGAGATAAGATGAACTGATATACATAATTTTTTTTTTAAGTATTTAATATCTTTAAATTTTCATTTTATTCAATTAAATCTATTTAAAAGTATATGGTACTTCGGCTATTAAGTATCTTTAAATTTTAAATTTTAAATTTCTCTATACTTTTATTTGAAAATGTACAAATTCATTTAATATAATATTAATGATTAATTTTAGATCATTATTAATGATAAAATTTGGTTTTATTTATATTTTTCAATTTGATTTAAAATAAATTATGATTAAAGAATATTGTAATATAATCACGTGAATCTCGTGTTTAATTATTTGAAAAAAATATTAAAAAAATCATAAAATTAAAAATTGAATTCATGTAATAAAAAATAAAAAAATGAGATATTTAATTAAAATTTATAAAAATTAAATTTTCTTTTTTTAGAGAACTTATTATTATATTTTATTTTAAGATTAAAATTCTAAAAAAAATCATTATGATAAATCGGGTGTCTATGCCAATTTTTTTAATTATTATACGGATAACGAAGTAGCTCTCGCAAACATACACTTATATAGGATAGACCAATATTTTTAATTCACAAGTCTTGTGCGGGTTAGCATGTCGGATCCCATTTTCTGTGAGATAAAATGGGGCGGGCCAACGACCATTGTTATCCCTGTACATACTTCAAATGGTATCCATGTTTTTATACGTGTGTACGTAGAACGAGAAGTTTTAGAAACATACTTTTATTTGTTAATAAAAATTTATTAAAAAGTAAAAAAAAAAAAATGATATGAGACAATTATTTTTTAATTTCCAATAAATTTAAACTAATGAAAAAATATGTAAAATAATATATATTTGATGCTAGAATTTCTGTTTTATATTTAGATTTAGGAGTTAGTAACACAGAGTTGAAAATGTTGGTCCCAAAATAATCTCTTCTTCAAATGTTATGACAAAACATCTTCTTGTTTTGAGAAGGGTACTTTCTCGTAAAAAAATATTTTTCATGATTTTTTTTTCAATCAATCTCTATGCCATGCAAGTGATATTTATGTCTCCGTTTCCTTGATTTTTTTCCCACTCTTCTCGTATCTTTTATTTTATTGTTTATTTTAGTTGATATTTAAAAACCTTTTATGTCTAGGATAACGGGATGAGATTAACCTTCGCCGTATTCATGATATATTATTAATAAATAATAAATAAATATAAAAAATAATAAACAAAAAGATTAAATTTATAAATATAAATAAATATATTTAATAATTATTAACTTTATGATTAAAATCGTAAATATTAATACAAATTACAAAATTTTGATGAGATAAATTTGATCTTACCAATTATAAATATAATTCAATGAAATGGTAAAATTATTTTATCCTAAACCTAATTTATTTTAATAAAAAAATAAAATTTCAACTAAATATTTCAAATGAACTTACTTACCATAAATTTCAAATTTATATATACATATGATATGAACTTACTTAACATAAATTTCAAATTTATATATCTTTATATACGATGATAACTTTTAAAAAAAATAATATATACCAATATAAAGTTTTTCTAATTATCTAAGTTATTCTACTCCAACAAACCCAACGATCTAAATGATTTAGTTTGAGTGAACAAAAGAATATTTTTTTATCCAATCTAAAATATAACAAAATTGACTAGAATTTTTTTTTTTTTTTCAAAAAGCCTTCACCTTACCCTCTGTATCATTTATTTGAAAGTTATCATTGCCGTATATACACAACATTAATAACAATGTTGACTTTGTTCTACCAACACACTTCCATTAATTTCTTACCAAATTCTTCTCAGCTCAAAATTAAATGTTAAATTTGGCTGATAAATAAATATTACTAATGCATGTAAGCAGCTGCATTAACATATATATATATATATATATGTGTGTGTGCGCGCGCACGTGTCCTTGACATAATAGGCTGTATTCATGAAAAAACTTGTGTGGTCATTAACCAAAGAAAGAATAGATGGAAAAGAACAACGAGAAAAGAAATGAAGTTTGAAGAGAAGAAAAGGGAACAAATGCATTGCACATATATCGTTGAAAAATTGAGAGCAGGCCATGGACGGGTCTTCCCTTGACTTTGACTTCAACGTTCCTTCTTAACTTGTTTTAAATGTATGTCACACTCGATTTGGTCATGCTCTTGCACATGCATCGTTTCTTACATCAAGTATACGCTCCCAATTCTCCATCCACCTTTTATATAGCTTTTTCACATATTTCCATTCATCATTAGCCTCAGACTTGTAACAAATGCTCATAAAACAAGTTATACTCCCTCGTTTTCCCTTTCTCTGCTTACAAGAATGTGGTTGGAAAATATAATAAGGAAATTAATTTATGAAAAATATATTTATCCCTTATACAATTCTTAATTTCTTGATTGATCAGTCCTTAATTCTCAATGTGAAATACACTGTATTCAAAAGAAAGTTATTTATTATCCCGTAGCTATATACATGGTATAAAATGGTAGATGAATTACAAAACCTAGAGGTCTAAGTCATATATGAATGTCAATTGTGTACTAAAATTATGAGTTTAAAGAAGACTTTGAAAAAAAAAATTATGCGTACATATTCTGTCAAATATTACATTATTAATTTGATATAAAATGTGTGTTTTTATGAATAAAATAGTTGAAATATATATAGATATGTGTTACTTTATTTGAATATTTTTCATCAAAATTAAACGAATATAAATACATGCAATAAAAATATTTTTTATATGTTTTAAACTTATATATTATATCTATCTTGATGCATATATACCAATGGATAGTATGCTTAGTAATTTTATAATTTACTGGTTGATTCTTTCTCATACATTTATAAAATCTTCCTAGGAAAACTCCTTATGAAGAAAACTCGCATTGCTACAGCCTGCATGACATGTATTCCCAAATTCCAGCTTAAGTCAGTTTTTAATTAAAAACATTGTACATTGAAGTAGGAACCAGTGGTCTAGTGGTAGAATAGTACCCTGCCACAGTACAGACCCGGGTTCGATTCCCGGCTGGTGCAATAATCATTTTTTTCTTCTCAGAGTCAGAGGCAGAGGCAGATGGTTAGAAGAAGCCAAGAAAGGGACCCACAGAAGTGGGTGGATTAAGAAGACAAAATATTTTTATTATCGGAAGGATAAGGAAGGGAATGCATGGTTGCTGCAATATGAAGCAATGAGTGAATTACTAATGGGGATGGAGACAACCTCAAATCAAGTAGAAAAAGATGTGAGTACTTGGGTTAGTATACCAGTATCACTACAAAATGACGTAACTTAATTCTCATTAAGTTTTAAACCCAAAAGTTCCTTCATGCGTTTGGCCAAAGACCTTGTCACAGCCATTTGTAGTTAATGTCTAAAACAAAACAAGAAGGAATCATCCTATTCTTATCCTAAACGTCGACTACAGACCCATCATGACAATCTTAATATACCCGTAAGGAAGGCAACATGGTTAAGGTTAGGCTGTTTGGATTATTGGTTTAATAGTAGAAAAAAATGGAATATGGAATAGTGTGGAAAATGACAAGATATGATGAAACTCACACATATCTATATGTGGATGTTTAGAGATGAAAAGGAAGAAAATTCTTTTTTTTTGTTGTGAAATTCAAACAGAAATTCATAACAACAATCATCAGTTTACTTTTTTTTTTTTTTTTTTAAATCTATTTCAAATATACCATCTTAGAATGAAGAAAAAATTGCATTCACCTTCTTTAAATTATTTTAAAAAATTATTAACGTTTCTTATTAAAAGTATCCATCTCCCAATAATATTAAAGGGTTCATAGTTCTTTTTGTACTTGAACTTTTTCTTAAAAAATGTTTTTATTCCTTAATAAGATTTTGATTAGTTTTTTTCCTGAGTTTCTTTTGATTATTCGTCTACTCACATGCATTTTATAAAGTGAAATATTAAGTTTGGCCCGTACTTAATAAAAATTATATTAAGAAAAACTCTTAGATTAATATAAAAGATTAATTTTTAATATAGAATTTCAAATTATATCTTGGATTAACAACAGATGGAAAAAATCATTTTTAGGTTACTACTTCTAGTTTTTTCATTTTTTTATTACAATGTATCTTACAAGTTCTTCTCTTTGTTTTCTTAGTATCAAGATTGATGGAGGACCATCTAGGCCATAACACATTGGATCTCAAGATACTAGGCTTCAAATAAGGCCCAAACTTGAAAAGATTGTACTTAAGGTTCAAGTTTTGGTTACAACAAAAAAGGAATATATAATTTTAGCTTCTGAAATTCGTCCAAAAGCACTCCAAACACTCAAGGAAGTTCAAGATTCAACTCTTGGTTGCAACATTTGAGAGTTTTTTGGTATATAAACTCATAAATGTAACTAAAAGTGGTCTAGGTGGGACTTGATGTTACTACAAAATATGTTTTCTACGTCATCATTTAACATTGGTTAAAGATGAGGCAATGTTGAATATAATTTCAACGTCGGTTGACTAAAAAAAGACGTTGAAAGTTGAACACATTCTACGTCGATTTTTAGTCAATCGACATAGAAAATACTTTCACCCAAAATTTCACTTAAGTTAGAGAATTGTCACTGACAAGATTTGAACTCGAGTATTTTAGAGTTGAAAGCTAATACTCTAACCACTAAACTATTATAATTTTCTAATAATAACTTACAAATAAATTATATTTATATACAAATAAATATATATCCATGTAAATATATATTTATTTGTATATATTTTTTGAAAGTGTTTTATTTTTTTTCAACCAAAAATTCACTTAAGTTAAAGAATTGTCACCAACAGGATTCAAACCTAGTACTTTAGAGTTGAAAGCTGATACTCCAACCACTAAACTACTATAATTTTCTGATAATAACTTACAAATAAATTATATTTATATACAAATAAATATATATACGTGTAAATATATAAATATAAAATATATAAATACAAATATATTTATATATTTATATATATTTATATATTTATATATTTATATATTTATATGTTGGATGTGAGGGTGCGCTCGAGGGTGAAAGTGGGATTGACTCTCATTTGAGTGAAAATACGTTAAAACTCATGGAAATTCACTCACTTGAGCCTCGCTTGAGCGAAAATTGGTATTTTTTGCTTGAGCGAATGTGTCACTTAAGCGAATGTGTCTTTTGAGCGAATGATGCGTTTCCCAAATTTATTTTATATCATTATATAAATAAATTATAAAGATTATATTCTGTCATTAAATTACAAACCCATATAAAGAGACCCGCTCACAAATTTGGTATCAAATTTTGAAAACCCACTCGACACACACTTTCACCTTCGAGCGTGCCTTCATATCCAACATATAAATATATAAATATATAGCTATATAAATATATCAAAATATATAAATATATTTTGTATTTATATATTTACACGGATATATTTTTATTTGTATATAAATATAATATATTTGTAAGTTATTATTAGAAAATTCTATTAGTTTAGTGGTTGGAGTATCGACCTCAAACTTAAGATATTGAGTTCAAATCCTACCGAGTGACAATTCTCTTCAAAATTAATTTGGTAATGCTTTAAACTTCTAAAAAATATGATAAATAATAAAAATATAATATAAAAGAGAGAGGGGGACTTTTAGATAAATAGAGGGGTTGTAAATAAATAAAAATTAATCAATATGAAAAATCAGACTTGATACAACATCGGTTTTGGAACCGCGTTGAAGGCCTTCTAGAACCGACGTGGAAAACCTTATTTGTAGTAGTGTGAAGCTAGGAAATTCGTCCATCACTTGTATAAGGAAAAATTAGTCCCACATTCCTTAGGTGAATGAGAGGGGAACAACTATATATATGACCCCTTGTGTATTTGAATCACATTGATGAAGTCAAAACTTGTGTGTGGAGATTTCTTTCTCCTATTCTCCTAACAAGGAACCTTCCTTGGAGGAGTCAGTGCCAAGTTTCTTTAGAAACTTGGAAAAGAATTTTGGTTCACCTTGGGTGCTCAAGGTGTGAGGCTTTCGACATCATACATGGTGGAAGGAGGGAGAATATTTTCATCAATTTGGTATCATGAGCTAGGCATGGAGGTCTTCAAGAGATAAGTACCATCATTTTTCCTTCTTTCTGGTCTTTGAATTTCTATCTTGTATGCCATTTTTTTAGTCCTTTTAATTAAGTCATATGCCATCGGTCATAAACTATTTTTTTTAATTGATTCATTGCTTTGTTCTTTCTTGAATCAATTGTTTAGGAATTCTTGAATATGTTGTATGCATAGTTATAGAATTTTATTACTTAGCTTTTAATTTTATAATCTTGCATGTTGTCTTAGATAGTCATGTTTAGTCCTTTAAATGTTCATCATTCCTTAGATGTTGTCCCACATGTATTAGAGAATAGAAATTGTTGTTGAAAAAAATATATATAGTAAAAACAAGTTTGTATGCTAGGAACCAAACCATGTATGTTGGTTTGTACCATTGAGTATATTCTTTTTCTATTAGATCATTGACAAAATTCTAAACAAAAATTTCTTGTACAAGCCGAGATTGGTCTAGACTTCTTTTAATTTTTTGAAAGTTGAATCAATTGTGGATTGTCGCCGCCGTAAAAAAGAGGTGGTCGGAGCGACGCGATGGTTCCGACTTTTCCATTTTTCGCATTTTTATGGGTGATGTTACAACGCCTTTAGGCTGTCCAATAACTGGGCTGAACCTAGGGGCGAGGTTTTCGAAAATGTGTTCTTAGGTTGTCCGATAACCGGGCTAACCCAAGAACTAATTTTAAAAGGGTTCTTATGGAGTCGTCACCGATGTTTTTACCGGAAAAATCGAAAAAGGAGAAAAAAAAGGCGTTGGTTTTTGAAAACCAACTTTGGTCGTTAAAACCAGAGTTAGGTAAGGGAGTTAGTTACGTATAAGAGAAGTATTAGTTCCCTTACGACGCCCCTTTCGGATTCCCTATGATAGGCCAGCTATTTTATAAATAAACTTTTGAAAAGATGTTTTTACCCTTTTATTTATGGAATTAAAATAACGACTACATGACCCTAATGTCTATTACGCAATTTAATCATAAAAATAAAGACAGTAAAAGAGAGGGAGAGAGTGAAGAAACCTCCGAGGCAAGCTTTTTGATTAATTTTCTGAAAAGTAGGGTGCGTTTTGGCAGCCCTTCGCTCTTTACAAACCGAAAAACTCTCTCGAAACGCTATAAAAGCTCTCTAAAACTCTCAGAAACTCCGGAAATGTTTCAGAGGGACTCTAGGGAGAGAATTTGAAGAAAGTGTAGAAGAGAAAGTGGAAGAACTGTGTGAAATGAGGGGGGGGGGAGCGCTCACTATTTATAGGGATTCGCACCTGTCAGGTCGAGACGGCTGTCTCGTCTGACAAGGTCGAGACGGTCGTCTCGCCATTCGTGACGGCAGTCTCGACTTGAAAAAGTGGCGAGACCGCCGTCTCATTTGGCGAGACGGCGGTATCGACTTTTCCAAAGACGAGAGGGCCTTCTAGCCAAACGGGAGGGGCGTCTCACCATTGGCAAGTGGCGAGACAGCCGTCTCGCCAAACGAGACGATGGTCTCGACTTGCAGTAATGGCAAAACGATGGTCCCAAAAAGCGAGACAATGGTCTCGACCCCTGAAGGCAAAAATCCTTATTTTTATACAGAAAATCCTTCCTACTCTAACATGGGGCCTAATAGTCTCTCCTAGTGGCTTTTTAGGCTTCGTCCATCTTCGAATAGGAGGTCTTCTGTTCTTATTTTGAGGCCGGGCAAGATTTGGGGTCTATAGCTGCCCCCCCCCCTTTACCTGACTAGTCGACTGTTGGCCTGTCGAGCCAAGAAGATCGACTGGAGGGTAAAGGAGTTGACCCTCTTGCCCGGTGACCCTTCGGATGCTCCGTCTTGCGGCGGTTGATCTTCTGGGGAAAAGTGTGTTGTGCACCTCCAGGATACTCCCTCTGACGGTAGCCGATCCCTTCGGTTGACACATGGTAAAACCATAG